CTTTCTTGGAAAAAAATGTCAAAATCATATATCATAACTGAATTTGTGCTAAAGAATGCATGTAGGAAATCAGAAGAACAGTGTGCGAAAATTTAGCCCCTATCTTAATCTAATAATTCAAACTTTATGATGCACATTCGGTTTCAGACGCAATCCTTAACAAAATTTATTGTGCCTTTAACTTTCTAGCCAGCCAATTGAATTCTGAAACCAGCATTCTGTCCGAAAACAAAATGCTCTTCTGAAAAAATCTCAAAAGAGGAAAAGCTCGGCTATTTTTTTCAAAAAAACTCAATAGGGAAGAAAATTTTTGACGTCTTAATGATACAGTGGCAAGATGAGTCTGTTAAAAAAAATAAGAATTTAGATTGAAAATTTCCGGAAAGAAATGAAAAATCCCGAAAAAAAATGAAAACTCTTAAAGTTCAAGGTCGTTTGCGTGCTTTCTGGCTATTACTTCTGTAGTAATCCCTCTTCGCAATAAAAAATATGCATCTGACATCTTCGACCGAGGCCAAGTCAGGCGATTTTGTTCAGGACCGCACTCAATACCCACAAATGCATGTATCGTTCTGATGTATGAGTGGAACTTGGGCGGGAATTTCGGGAACAATCCGTTGAAGTTGCAGTACAGTTGGAACTGAAATAGAAAAGAGTGGGAACGAGGGAATTGGTAGAGATGGGGATAAAAACCAAATCAGTAATTTGTTTTTTAGTAAAAGCTAAAGACCGGGTCTAAAGCTAAAGAAAAGCTAAAGCCTCGTCGCCCTTCCTTCCCCACAGAAGCCTCACTCCCCTTCTTTCCGCTCGTCCTCCATCCCCTCCCCCCTTCCCCTTGCCAGAGTTCATCCTGGACCCGCCTATGCTTCCTAGTGAGTGAAGCCGGGATGGGAAGGAGACTAGTGGGAGGACTACACAAGAATAGCATTTAACATATTTGAACAAAATTTCAGAATCAGTCCCAGCAAAAGTGAAAGGTAGCGAGAAGGTACGACAACTGCTCTGATGGATGACGAAAGAATTCTGTGGAACAAAAGCGGAAAATGATAACAAATCTGTGAGAATTCACCATCAGATCGATGCAGGATTATCAATGCTTCCCATATTTTGTTCTTCCTCTTTCCGCATTGCAATTGCTCCGTACTTTTCATCCTAGTATATATTTCTGTTGCTGTGGATTGTAAAACTGTATAGTTGTAATAGAACTGTTTTCCGCAATGCCAAAAATACCGGGACCGTCCGGGCTATCAGTGCGGATATTCCATGTTAATGATGATACCGGGATACTTCCGAACGCCCGGAGCAGCTATGACAAGTCCTTCAGTCCTGAACCACAAATCGCCAGTTAGTACCAACCACCTACTCGATTTATGTGAGCCACCACTTCGCAAGCCGTCTGAGTGGTCGTTTACTTTCTCGTGGATACCAAACACTAATACGCAATTCGATTTTGCCTAAAATTAGCCCTTCCCCCCGTTCCCCTTGGCCTCTTGAGTTGATAATCCCTTCAGGAGACAAAACGAATGTCAAGATCGCCAGCAGGCTGACCACCAGAGGAACAGCACTGGTCAAAGCAAGTGGACAGTTTTAGAAAATGAGACTGTGAATTTACAGTCGATTAACGAATTTTGTGATAGAACAGCTTCACGTTCACGGGGAAGAATACCCTACTTCTCCACTGCGTGCTTTTACGTAAACACGTGGATTAGCAGAAGAATTATGAATTTTTTGTGTTCTTTTCTTCGCAAGTTTACGATAACAAAATTTATAGTTAAGAAATATTTTCATACAAACAGTGCATG